ATTGGATTCACAAGACAATTACAGGAATCTAGACAACGGGGGGAAAAAGTGTTGGAACCTTAAGACCATCAACGGACAGCAGACCACTAAGGATGCATTCCTTGAGACCCGTCCCAAGAACTATCACATCGTACTCCTCATCCATGGTAGCTGAACTCAAAATAATCCAAACAAAAATCAGAAACACAAATGAGAAAACTTATCCACGGGGATCAACCAGATCAATGATAAGGGGGAAATGACTAGGGTTTTCTCCGACGAGTCAGCTGTAGAAGGTGAAAGGTATTCTTGCGTGGGAATTGTTTCAAATGACCTTTCCCATTAACAAAATTGGCCAAATGACCTTTGACTCAAAAGGGAAAAATAACGTAAATGAAAAATGATATTACAAAGACAAGTACTAATATACCCTTCACATAATTTTGTAATAAATTTTTCTTTCCTTCTCCATCTTTCTCTTCTGCTCCCGCATTTCTTCTTCTCGTTGCTCTCTCTTGCTCTCACTCTCTGCTCTTCTTCTTCTCGTCACTCCCTCTCGCTCTCTGCTTTTTCTTCTACAATTTTTCGCGAGCAATCACTATGGAACTCTCTCTCATCAATGCCAGTACGAATTTTTTCGTTTTTTGTCAATTTGTTCTTTTATTCAATTTGATATTGCTGGAGAAAGATTTTGATTGTGTTATGTGAATTCATCTAATTTTGTTTGGTTTGATGGAATTGAAGATGATAATTGATGCACTCTATGTGTTTGATGAAATGCTTATAGGATTGAGTTAATGAAGTAAGAGAGTAATTGGTGCACTCTATATGTTTGATGAAATGCTTCCTATGCTACTTGTTGTATACTTAGAACCAATAAATCTATCTTCGTTATATATTACACTAGAACGAATGCACACTCGTTATAGTATCGCAATACTTATAACGAAACTCATTTTATGAGATAACGATACTTGTTTCGTTTTATGTATTGATAGAATCCATTAAAAATCACTTAAATTGTAATTATAATGAGTAAAATATCGTTATAATGTATTATATAGCGAAGGTATATGTGTATTTAATCGACCGGGATGGAAATATAACCATAACAAATGTACATTCATTATGTTGAAATCATAACGAATGTACTCTCGTTATGGTTATTTTGATGGAATGACGTGTTAATGATTCTATCTTCTTTATATATGACATTAGGATGATATTCTAAACTCGTTATATATGACGTGTTAATGATTCTATCTTCGATCTAAAAATAACCGTAACGAATGTACATTCATTACATGTATGTGTTTTGATAAGCCAATATTTATTCAAGCTTCAGTTTAATAGCATGCTTTAAGGTTGTTAAGTTCAAAGAATAAAAGAAGCTCGATATAGAATAAAAAATCATTTTATTAGTATTCTTTAGAAATGAGTTAACTTATAACTTTAACGAGTAAAATATCGTCATAATGTATTATATTGTGAATGTATAGGTGTATTTAATTGACTGAGATAAAAATATAACTATAATGAAGATTCATTTGTTATGGTGTATGAAATAACGAATGTACATTCTTATGTATTAAATATATTTTGATCATATTAGGTTTTCAAGTGTATTATGAAACTTGGTAAAGTAATGGAATTTGTACATTTATGTTGCAGGTTTGATTGTGGGATGTTTACAATCAAGTGTATAGAATTTTTGCATGCTGGGAAGAATGTTGAAGGCGTAGATCAATCTCGGATTAGTGATTGCGTGTAAAACTAACGGCTGAAATATTTGGTGCTCATTTTGATCCATAGTTTGTTTTAAACATTTAATATGTAACGGGTTGTAAGGATTTTTTGGATAATACATTTTTTTATTGTTTTTCATGTGTTTTTCAATGCAATGATGCGAGTGGTCGATTTTTTAAGTTGTATTTTTTACGTACTTCCCAATGCAGTGGTTATAATAGTATTTTATCAAAATGGTTAAAGTTATTACTGTAATGAGAAGTTTTAATTTAATAAATAACGAAGGGATTCGATGCCGAGCTCCCGAATATAAGTCGAGGAACCGATTACAAGTCAGTTAAAAAATAACGAATGTACAGTCGTTATTTTGTTAAAATAACGAATCTACATTCGTTATACCGCGACATATAGTCTTTTCATTATAACGATTGTACAATCGTTATTTTGTATAAAATAACGAATCTACATTCGTTATAGAGTGCAATTTGGTTCTTCACTTCACAATGGAGCATCCAAGAGAAATAATAATATTTTAGCACCATAAGTGAAACTGTAGAAGAGCATCAATTAGCACATCCGTCATAACGAATGAAGAAAGCGCGTTTGTGTCGAAAAACAACCATAACGAATGTGCATTCGTTATAACGAATGCACATTCGTTATGGTTGTTTTTCGACCAAATCTACCTGAAACGACCTTGCATTCGTCATATAATACATTATAAAGATATTAAACTCGTTATAGGTCTAATTTTGGTCATTTTTAAGTTAAAATAATGAATTTACAAAGATATTACATGATCTTTCCATTTTTCAAAAACAAAAAAAAAACCAAGTATTGTTATTTCAAAAAAGAGTTTCGTTGTGAGTGTTTCGACACTCTAAAAACTTCAAACTATCGTTACGATGACATGTAACATGAATATACAATCGTTATCAAGTAATTCGATCAAAAAAGCCATGAAGAAAGCGCGTTTGTGTCGAAAAAAACCATAACAAATGACGAATGCACATTCGTTATGGTTATTTTTCGACCAAATCCACCTTAAATTTTTTTTGTATAAAAAAATAATTTTTTAAAAAAATCCGTTTACAAAATCTGTTTCAAAATCCATTTATTTTGTATTTTATTTTTTATTTAATTTTTTTTGAATAAAAAGTCGAATTTAAAAATAAAAATAGATTTAATTTATAACTCGAATTAGTCCAATTGAAGTCAAATTAGTACAATCTCTTGTAATTATATTCTAATCGAACTCGAATTAGTCCAATTGAGATCCAATTAGTACAATCTCGATCAATTACAGTGTAATTGAACTCGAATTAGCCCAATTGAAGTCAAAATAGTACAATCTCGGTCAATTATAGTGTAATCGAACTCGAATTAGTCCAATGAAAGTCAAATTAGTACAATCTCGGTCAATTATAGTGTAATCGAACTCGAATTAGTCCAATTAAAGTCAAATCAGTACAATTGAACTCAAATTAGTCCAATTGAACTCGAATTAGTACAATTGAAGTCAAATTTTGAATTAGTCCAATTGAACTCGAATTAGTACAATTGAAGTCAAATTAGTACAATCTCGGTCAATTACAGTGTAATCGAACTCGAATTAGTCCAATTAAAGTCAAAATAGTATAATTGAAGTCAAATTAGTACAATTAAAGTCAAATTAATACAATTTAAGTCAATTATAGTTTAATCGAACTCGAATTAGTCCGATTGAAGTCAAATTAGTACAATTGAAGTCAATTATAGTGTAATCGAACTCGAATTAGATTACAATAGAATTGTCCGGGATTATACTAATTGGACTCATTCGAGTTCGATTACACTATAATTGACCGAGAATGTACCTATTTGACTTCAATTGTACTAATTTGACTTCAATTGGACTAATTCGAGTTCGATTAAACTACAATTGACCAAGATTGTACTAATTTGACTTCAGTTGGACTAATTCGAGTTCGATTACAATAGAATTGTCCGGGATTATACTAATTGGACCTCAATTGGACTAATTCGAGTTCGATTACACTATAATTGACTTCAATTGTACTAATTTGACTTAAATTGTACTAATTTGACTTCAATTGGACAATCTTGGTCAATTATATTGTAATCGAACTCGAATTAGTACAATTGAAGTCCAATTAGTACAATTGAAGTCAAATTAATACAATTGAAGTCAAATTAGTGCATTTGAAGTCAAATTAGTACATTATCGATCAATTATAATGTAATCGAAGTCAAATTAGTACATTCTCGGTCAATTATAGTGTAATTGAAGTCAAATTAGTACAATATCGGTCAATTATAGTGTAATCGAACTCGAATTAGTACAATTGAGGTCCAATTAGTACAATCTCGGACAATTATATTGTAATCGAACTCGAATTAGTCCAATTGAGATCCAATTAGTACAATCTCAGACAATTATATTGTAATCGAACTCGAATTAGTCCAATTGAAGTCAAATTAATACAATTGAGGTCAATTATAGTGTAATCAAACTCGAATTAGTACAATTGAGATCCAATTAGTCCAATAAGTATACGTGCCTTATGAAGTAATTCGGTAGAAAAATCAGAAAAAATCGCGTTTCATCCCGAAAAATTACTATAACGATTGTATAATTGTTTTTTCAATAAAAACGATTATACAATCGTTATAATAGTTTTCCGAACAATTCCACCTTAAACGAGACCTCAATCGTCAAAATAACACACTATAAAGATATTAAGCTCGTTATCGGTGCAATTTTAGCCATTTTTATGTAAACTACATTCGTTATATGAATCGAGACACCATAACTCGAGTTCATGCATTATAATGGATCGTATATCGAAGGTTTAGGTGTATTTAATCAACCGCGATAAAAAATTGAAAACGAGGGTACATTCGTAGTGATTTTCAAAATAACGAATGTACATTCGTTATGTAGTACATAATAACGAATGTACATTCGTTATGGTTATTTTTGGACAAAAAAACACCCGAAACGACTCTATCTTCGTTATACAATAATTTATTAGGAAATTACTCTCGTTATGGGTATAGTTTTAGTATTTTATAAGTTCGTATAACGAGAATTCATTATCGAAATTAATTTCCAAAAATAAAATCAAGTAATGTTATTTCAAAAAACTACATTCGTTATATGAATCGGGACACCATAACTCGAGTTCATTTATTATAATGGATCGTATATCGAAGGTTTAGGTGTATTTAACTGACCACGATAAAAAAAAAGATAAAACGAGGGTATATTCGTAGTGATATTCAAAATAACGAATGTACATTCGTTATGATATTACATAACGACTGTACATTCGTTATGTGCAATCAAATGCAACATTATCCAAATAAATAAAAAAAAAATAAAAAATAAAAGGCATAAAAAACATAAAAAATATGAAATCTACATGCTTATCAATCATCAAATATGAAACCAAAATACTTATCAAAATTAAATAACATAAAATCCTAGCAACAACAAATTTTTCTTTCACCTTTCTCTAAATAAAAAGAGATAAATTTTCTTCCACTTTAGGTATTTCACTTATTTATTTATATTTATTTCTTGAATGGGGTTATTTAAACAAAAAAAGTGTTGAAAGGGTCATTTAAATAAAATGACCCTTTGACTATCCCTTTTAAATAAAGGTCCCG